CCTAAACCATAAGCCCCAAACCCAAAGCTCCCAAACCCACTCTGCATAACGTTTCATTGTCCATTTTCCTTTTCAAAGGTACTATCCCTATATCATCCACCCTATGAAGCCCTACATAACCCCTAACACTTCTATATAACCCCTATATAACCCCTATGTATCCCTATAAACTTCTCTATAAACCCTATATATAACCCTATAAACACCCCATGAAGCCCTATATGGTAGTTTCCCTAAATAAGGAGACCCCAATATAGACCCCAAAATACGATAATCCTTTTTATAGGGACCCGCCCAACAAAGGAACCCCTAATTTTGGGAAACCTGCGTATAATCCCTATAAAATACTTCACCCCTTCTCACCCGACCTCAAGCTGCGCCGGCAAGGGATTGCTGGAGCCAGAGTCCACAGCATCCCGGACGAGGCGGACTGCCTGGCAAAACATCGGTCTGGGATGTAGGGTTTGGGGTTTAGGGCCTGGGGTTTAGGGATTTAGGATTTGGGGCTTTGGGATTTAGCGCTTTGGGATTTAGGATTTTTTGGATTTGGGGCTTGGGCTTTAGGGTTTGGGGGTTTTGGGGTGCGGACGCAGGGCTTGGGATTTTGGTCTTTGGGTTCACAGCTTTGGGATTTAGGGCTTGGGATTTAGGGTTTGGGGGTTTGGGGCTGCGGACTTAGGGCTTTTATGGTTGGGATCTAGGGTTTGGGGTTTAGAAGTTAGGGTTGAGGGTGCCCCATAATTCGGGCTGGTCACCAGAGTCATGCGCAGGCCTGAAATGATAAACAGCTGAGGACCAGCATTCATGATCCAAACCACACCGCAGGAAGCGTGCATTCCTCACACCCTAGACCCTACAGCCTTTTGCAACAAGCTTTGGGAGTCAGCCCCTGGAAAGAGGCCCGCAGCTCACTCTTGGCAAGCCCTGAAGCCTAACCCTAAAATCAAACCATACAACAGGCTTAGGGTGCGAGGTGTGGAAACCCTTGGGCCTGCAACTGGGCTTTCTTGGCTCTAAGGGAAAGGGCCCTGAATATACAGCCCCCCATCAGTAGATAGACTATGGGGTGCGTGGGGCTCTTACTGTAATATACCCAGAGCCATATTCTATCTACTTAAGGGGGACTATACGTAGCTAACTCAAAATCTGCAACACAAGAAGAAGCCAGATCATCAGAGAGAGGACAGCATGGACATGGGGTTTCTAGAAGTATACGTCCGATATTTAGACTCTAGTATATTGGGGTCCATTTGCCTGGAAATTCTCATAATTTCATAACTATCCCTCAGACTAGCATGGTGTACTCTAAAGGGAGCCTAGGACCACTGCCCTCGTGCACCCTTCCCTGCATACCCGCACACCTCTAGGTCTGACTCACCAAAACAAAATGCGTGCTTCCAAGAATTAGGGGTCTCTATTTGGGGGGTCCCCATAATATCGATTATACTATTTTGGGGTCTAGATTGGGTCCCCCTATGCATGGATACTACCAAATCTCTAGGCCCGGAACCCTAAGCCCCGAACCTCAAGCAGCCGCAAGACCCTGAAACCTTTAACCCCAATTCCAAGAACCCTAAACACTTAAACGCTAAACGCTTAAAGCCTTATACTCACCCTCCAAAACCCTAAGCTTCAAACCCAAACCACTAAGACCGCCTGGGCGGGCAATTTCGCCAACCTGGCCCCTATATCGCGGGCTTTCTGGAGGAGCTCATGGTCCTCCTTGGGGCACACTTTGTCAGCGTGTCATTCAGAAATAAAGGTTCCTTCGGGTGGCTTTGGGGGTGTAGGGAGATCACCAAAGGTTCCAGTGTAGATTAGGGGACTCTTCTGTTCTGGGTAAACAGGTCGATGCTCACATCACGGCTTAGGTGAAGGAAGTAACCACCTTTTTGCTTAAGAGCCTGTGGCAGAGTAGCTCATGTACAACTGCAGGGTACGGAACGCTCAATATATGTACCATTGTCTAAACTCCTAGTTTCTCCCTTAATAACCCCTATAGTACTCCCCTATATAACCCCCTTTAAGGAGTTTAGACTATGGCTCATATGAGTTCACGATGTATGTCCAAAAGATACACCTGGGATGAAATGTGACTAGGAACTGTGGTTCCGGCTCATCAGATTCGAGACTTGGTCGGTATGTCGTTAACCGATGAATAGCACAAACTGTGCTGCCACGACTTCCTTGACTCTTGTGCAAACAGAGGTGTTTTGTTGAGGGGCCCCTTGTTCAGGGGCTTGCGTCCTGAAATCTGGAAACAACACCTGGACGCATGGAATTTCAAATGGAACCGGGACGCCATTTGCAGAACTCTGCCTGCGCCTACCTGAATGCCAAATCCCAAGCACCGTTAGCTTGAAACCCCATAGGCCTTCAGGCTTTTATGGCAAACTGCGGCAGCGGTGAGTTAAGCAGGGAAACGGGGTCCTAAACTAGGGTTTCGGATTTCAGCATGCGAATCGCGCGGGGTTTAAAATCAAATGAAACGTGGATATGGTAATCTGAAAGGTCTCCATGGCCTTAGGGTCGTCTCTTCGATGCACCCAAAAACTCTTCAGATCCTTACTGGACTACAGTGACCCACAATAAGGTGATGAAAGCAAGGGCTCTGGTAAGCTTTACCCAGGCCATCTAGCCTTCAACTGAGAATTTGCCGCCCCTAAAAGGCTCCTTCAATACCATGAAAGCCCATAGGTGAAAGCATCCACCCAGAACCAGTGGGCCTAGCCCAAGAAACACCGAGCCAGGCGAGTTTAGGTGCCTTTATAGGCCATCGAATACATACAACAATCCTCCCACAACTACAGCCCTGAACACTAAATCCTAAATCCTGAACCCAAGACTATGCCTGCACCAGGCTGCGTAAGTGGCCCAAATGAGACCGCAATTCTCAGCCTCCGCTGCGGACAGCCTGTCAGGAGGCTAAAGGCTTTTTTGGGACTATTATACTATAGTAGTTTCCATTTTATTTTCATTATCCCTATATATACTATAGTAGTTTCCATTTTATTTTCCATTATCCCTATATA